CACTATAAAAAGGGCTATAGTGGTTCAGCCAGCTTTTTTGGGGGTCTGGGGTGTATTTAGTGCCTGTCTTGCAGAGGTTCTGGCTTACATCATATCTCAGAGCAACCTTGTCCTTTGGAGGTGAACCTGCAGGGCTTCATCCAGAAAGAAGCAGACTTTTTCTCTTCAAGGTCAGATTTTTCTCCACTTCTATGTCTCTCTTTATGTAGTTTCTGTTGGCCCTTCTGGAGAGATAAGTTGAGGATGAAATAAGGAAATGGTTTATTTCTGTCCAGGTGCTTAAAAAGTCTGGTTGTGCAAAGGTACAAAGAACCATGAAAGAAGCAATTGTGATGTCCCAGAGAACTGAAGGTATCTCAGGTGTCCTTAGATGCCAGTGTGCTTTCATTTGCATGACTCAAAGAGGTGAAGTCAGTGGAGATGAGTCCCAATCTGTGCAGCTGTTTTGCTTCTCATTTGGAGCTGTGACATGTCTCAGTGTCCTTGTCCTGGGGAGATATTTTTGCTGAGCTCAATGGACACAGGATCTGGATAAACTATGATGGGCCTTTCTGGAGGACCATGCAGTTGGGTGGAGAAGTTGAGGTGCCCTAGGAAGCTGGGGAAAGGCAGTTAGAGAAAGGGAGGCAGAGACCAAGGAAACAAAGCTGTTAAGGACCTTCATTCAAGAAGAGCAAAGTGGCAGATAAACACAATGGACAGGAGAGATCTGCAAGGGGTGGTGGCAAAACGGGAAAGCTCAGCACAGGAAACAACTGGGCCACTAATTTTGGTCAAGAGGGAAAGCTACTCCAGTGATTTTGGGGCTGGGTTTATCAAATGAGAGGATTTATCTTGAGGTGGGAACGATAAGAACCATCCTGGGAACTGTAAATCCTCAAGGCATGACTGGTCCAAATGAGATCTCATGTAGCATCTTCATTCAAGCTCTTGTTTGTCTCCAGGCCCCATGTCTGGGCTCTCAGTCCCATGAGGGCACTGCTGTGTCTGCCCTGACCCCATTGCTGCTTTCTAGGCCTCAGGTTAATGAAGAACAAGGACATGAGAAACAAGGGCTGGTTTCCTTTCTGTAGGCTTTTTAAGGCAAGAGGTGGTCAGGGATGAGAAAACACCGCTGAAACCCTCCCTGCTTTTATCTGATGAATTATGTGTGGGTGCTGAGATGTTTTGCTAAATATTAAGCCTGAACTTTAGAAAATGGAAAGTCTTTCCAGAAACGGTTGGCATTAAGGCAAGTGACGATTGCACATGAATGATCCTCTTTGTTTGCCTTCCCTTCCTCTCACTTGATTGCTTTAAAATATCGCTGATTGCTTGAGTAGCTGAGAAGCCTCTCTTGGAAATCTACCAAATAAGCTTCAGCGCAGTTTATTTTTATGATTTGCATTTGGCCTGGGTTTGGTATTTTTCCCCGCCACCACTTTTTATTTTTGACGATTAAAGAACCAATTTCATTCTTCACCCCTGCCCGCTCCTTTTGATGGAGGCTGTTTGGCTCAAGGGTTTGGTAACAACATGTGGTGCCATTCAGCTCCAGGTGTTCATGTTGCTCCCATCTACTGCTCAACAACCTAATGTGAAACTACCTTGTGGCCTGGAACCAGTTCCTTGGGGAAAGGTGGCCCATCACACGAACAGGTTATGGGCTAAATGTGCCTCATCTCAACACTGAGGGGAGATGATGGATACTGTTGGTTTCTTCTCGTTGCTCAAGGTGGTACTCTTTGTGGATTAGGACAGAGGACCTGAATGTGGAAGTGGTGCCGATGCCTGCAGAGATCCCTGAGCTAATGCCAAGCAAATGAGGCCTGAGAATGGGGAAAACTCAGTTGCCCTGGTGCAGTGTTGTGTTGGGGTTATGAACTCTGCCACTTCAGCTAGTATCTCTATGTAGCACATAAATCTATCAGGTGGTACAAGTTTGGGAGCTTCTCCCTTGGCCTTGCCGTTCTTGAACACAACCCATGTTACAAGTACAGTCCCCCAGGCACTGGTTGAAGCCAGTGAAAGGCCTGTGTGTGTTACGGGGCTGCCCCTGTTTCAAGTGCAGACTTGTATATCCAAAGCATTTAACTAGGTCTCTTTTGAGGTGTCATAATTAAATATGAGTTTGGAAAATGAGAGTTTGCCTGCCCATCACTTAGTTGTCATCTTCCTTGATCCCTGCTGTCACAGCAGCCTAGGGGGTTATTGAGGCTGAGACATCCCTGGCTGCCTGAAGGAGTAAGGTCTATCTAATCAAGGTGGTGTGGGGATAGCTCATAGTTCATATTTGCATGATTTTGAGAGACTAGATTGGCTGAGTTTGAGGAGAAGAATCCCGTAGGTGAGGGAAATTTCTTCATGGAAAGGGTTATCCAGCATTGGAATAGACTGCCCAGGGAAGTGGTTGAACACCTGGTGGTGTTCAAAAGACAGGTAGACATGGTCCTCAGGAATATGGTTTAGTGATTTTTATTTCTTATTTATTTTTTTGTCAGAGTTAGGTTGATGGTTGGACTAGATGATCTTTAAGGTCCCTTCCAGTGTAGACAATTCTATGATTGCTCAAGACTTTGCATATTGAAGAGGAATCTGCTGTGAATGGTGCAACGCAACATTGCACTGTGTGTTCACTCTTTTCTAGACAACTGAGAAGCCAACCACGAGGTCTGGAGGCACAGGGCAACCAACCTCATTGACACCGTGAGTCTTGGTGCAGGCTGTAGATGAGACTGACCTCCATCATGCTGCAAACCACCTTATCAGTGACTGGGGAGACAGCAAAGGGTGGGAGAGCTCGTTGAGTTGCTTCTTGCATTTCTACTGACCAGCAAGAAGCCAAATATGTCCAAGAGAAACCCTGATGGACCTGAATTAAAACCCCAACTTGGTGGCCTGACACCACTTTGGGCACCTCCAAATGGCAATCAGAGCCCTGTTGGAAATGCATTTGAGCTGCATGGCACAAACATCTCCTGATTGCCCCAATCCGGGCTTGTGAATAGATTTAATTGCTGAATGGAGATACAATTGCAATTAAGCCTATTCAGCCCGATAACGAGGCATTCAGGGATTTAGGAGTTTTGTATGGCTCAATTAGATGCAATTGTTAAGCCTGAGCCTTATGGAGTGCTCCTCTGAAGTCTGGGATCTGCAGGCAATCCTGAGAGCTTTGGGTGATGTTTTCAGGCAGGAATGGTCTGAGAAGGGGGGAAAATTGCGAGTCTTTGTGGACACGAAGCAGTTAATTCCTGGGATGTTTTGCTGGAGTGGGGAAACATCAGCCTAAGTGTTTTCCCTGAGGGTCCAAGCTGGTTGGGAGAATGGGAAGAGCTGTGCTGCACCTACTTACTTTTTAAACCTGTGCCTAAACACCTGGAAATAGGGGCTGTTTAATAATTTTAATATCTTTTTAGCAGCCTTTTGAGGCTACTCTTATTTATTAATGGGGCTGTGGTAGTCCCATAAACAGCAATAAAATGTGGAGCCCTGAGGACACTTTTTGCTCCCCCATCCCTTTTCACTTCACCTCCAGGGATGGGATTCCCTTGCACTTTACATCTCAAGCCAGTGTGCTTCACCCTGGGGCCTCTTGGCTTTCACTTTTTCTTTCTGTCTTTGACCTTTTTGGCCTGTTTGTCTCTTGGCTAGAGAATCTCTATCTGCAGGAATGGTTAGGACCTACCACCATGAGACCTGCTCTTCATCAGGTCTGGAGTTCCCAGGACCCCAGGCACTGCAAAATAACCATTGGTGTGGGGAGGAGACCTGGGTGATCCCCTACTTTGATTGCAGTTTGGGATGTGGGGTCCCTGGTTCTTCCCCTGGGTGTCTTCTCAGCTGAAATATCCTCTATTTGTGTGGTGGAAGCTCTAGGGGTGGCTGGAGGGGGGAGTTCACCCCACTGCTGAGCTGCTGTAGGGTGAAGCTCCTCTGGCTTTGACGGGGTCAGGAGGTGGTTGGAGTTGGGGGTCCCTGTGTTCCCCTGAGGGTGAGATGTCAGATGTGCTCCTGTCACCCTGTTTGGGGCTGATTTCTCTCCTGGTAGCAGGGGACCTCATCTTCCATCATGCATTGAGAGTCCGCCCGATTCACCCAGAGCTTTGTGGTCATCCCACCATCCCCAAGCCAAGGAGGCACAGGTGGCACTTGTGTCCCTTTTGGGATCATTTTCCAGATGTTGGAGCCCAAAGATGGGACACCAGATACCTGCATTCCCTTCTCTGTGCCTCAGTTTCTTGCTGCCTGTTGATACAGTGCTCATGTCCTCCATCTAAGTGACCATCTCTTAGGAAGTTCTCCGCTGTTGACAAACATAAGACAAATTTTATACGACAAAGTGCCATCACAATTTTTTCAAGATGTCTCGACTCGTCCCCCTCCATCCCCTTCCAGCACCCACACAGCCATGCCAGACCCCTGTATCTGAACCACAAGGTCATTTTGAACCCTACTTGTGGGATCATTTTCCAGATGTTGGAGCCCAAAGATGGGACACCAGATACCTGCATTCCCTTCTCTGTGCCTCAGTTTCTTGCTGCCTGTTGATACAGTGCTCATGTCCTCCATCTAAGTGACCATCTCTTAGGAAGTTCTCCGCTGTTGACAAACATAAGACAAATTTTATACGACAAAGTGCCATCACAATTTTTTCAAGATGTCTCGACTCGTCCCCCTCCATCCCCTTCCAGCACCCACACAGCCATGCCAGACCCCTGTATCTGAACCACGAAGTCATTTTGAACCCTACTTGTGGTGTTCCCCATCCCCTCCAGGGGCTGATAACCAGCCTGGACCCTTTCACCCGTTAGAAACAGAGACTTTCTCTCCCCCTCCCAACCCTTTCCCCAAGCCGGCCCCTTCCTTTGCAAACATCCCAGTTATTTTATTATTATTTTGTGCCCACGAGGTAAAGGGTGTTTTGTTTTTTTTTTAATGTGTGGGGTTTTTTTCCCTCCCCTCCCTTTCTCCCCCATCCCAGCCTCCCCTCCGCCGCTTCGGTCCCGCGGAGAAGGAGTCGGAGCCGGAGAGGGGGGGATGCCCGGAGCGGCCCCTCCTCCTGCCTCATAACTTCTTCTTCCAAGCGTGTGGGGAGAGTTTTCCTGCAGCCCGGACCACACGGACGCCTGTTTTTTGGGGCTTTTGGAACCTCCTCACCCACGGGGGGAGAAGCCAACGCGCGGCAGCTTTGCCCAGGTAAGAAGCACCGACCGCTTGTAGCCATCTGTCCATCTGTCCAGATATCAGGTTTTCTGTGCTCCTTTGAGGTTTTTTTCCAGCTCTCCCCACTCTCAGGTTGCATTTAAAGGAATCGTGGAGTGAAAGCTGGGAGACTGGGCATTCTGTGCTCCTTTGAGGTTTTTTTCCAGCTTTCCCCACTCTCGGGTTGCAGTTAAAGAAATCGTGGAGTGAAAGCCAGGAGAGTGGGTCGGGGGGTGATGGGGAGGATGAGGAGGTGGAAGCCCCCAGGGCTGCAAATGGCACAAGTGAACCCCTCGCCGCTGGCTCAGAAGTGCCTGAGATGCCCCAAACCTGTCTGAGATCTGATTTTTTTGGAGGTGGCTTTGCATTTCCCGTGATGGGAGGTGGCTCAGGAGCATCAGCTGGTCTCGGTGGCAGGGAGAGGTTTGTGAAGAAGCGCTGTCGTGTGCAGCACATGGTGGGGTTGGGGGTTTTCTTGAGGCTTTCTGGAAGGAAGAGGGTTCTTGTCACCTCCTTTAATGCACCCAGGAGGTCGGAGCATTGCAATGGGCAGAATCTGGCCCCAGTAAACTTCCCATCTGTGGAATATGGAAGTGTAGTGACAGGACAAGGGGTAATGGTTTTAAATTGGAAGAGGGGAGCTTTAGATTAGATACCAGAAAGAACTTGTTTGGTGTGAGGGTGGTGAGAGCCTGGCCCAGGTTGCCCAGAGAAGCTGTGGCTGCCCCATCCCTGGAGGGGTTCAAGGCCGGGTTGGAGGGGGCTTTGAGCAGCCTGGTCTGGTGGGAAGTGTCCCTGCCCATGGCAGGGGGGTTGGAACTGGATGATCTTTAAGGTCCCTTCCAACTCTAACCATTCCATGATTCTATGTATTTTACTTCTAATCTTGTTCAGTTGGATTGTGCGAGGGGGATGCTGGTAAAATAGCAAGTGCTGAAAGCAGGTCCTGGATCAAAGCTGTAACAACAACTTAGCAGAACCCCCCCCATCTTTCACCCCCCTGGGGCTGGTTATAACTCCAGGCAAAATTAATATTTCAGCGTGTTATGGGAGAAACCACCAAAAGGGTTGGACTGGGGCCACGCTGGGATGGGGAGGTCAGATTATTTCAAGCAGTTGGGGGCTGGATTCTTCTTTCCTACAGATGGGCCAGACTGGGTCTGGGAAGGGTTGTAGCATCACAATGTGACCTCTCAGGTGCAAACCGTGGCCATGCAGCTCAGAGTTGTGGGTCTGCTCCTTTCCCAACACAGCAATGAGCTGCACAACATAGGTTTTTCTGCCTCAGTGGCACCGGTGGTTGTGGTGACTGAGGTCCTTCAGCATCATTCCACCCATTCCTACGATGTCTCATGGCTAAGGGCAGTGATGAACAATTTTGTTTGGCTGCTATCCATCGTAGGCCCAAAATAATGTAATTTCTGCTTGTTGTCGTGAATTACAGAAAGTGCCTTTCTTCTGGGGAGAGGAGAAAATCAGCCACCAGGCAGATGATTCATGGGGTGTCTGAAAAGTCTTTTGTGGCTCTAACAAGGAGGTTGGTTTGTAGGATGGAGTCTGTAGAAATTGCTCTGTGCATTGTATTATTGCACACATCAGGAGGAGCAGAAAGGGGGGGGGATGATGCTGGTTTTTGGCTCCCCAATGCTTCTGCAAAGTGTCCCCTTCTGCAGACCTCTTGCTCCATCCTTTCTCCAGTGCCTCCAGCTCAGGTTGGGCCAGGAGGTGTTTGGGATCGAGTTTAAAGTGTTGGCACATGAGGACATGTCATCACCTGCAGGTCATAGAATGGTTTGAGTTATAAGGGACCTTAAAGATCATCAAGTGCCACTAGAGCAGGTTGCTCAAAGCCCCATCCAGCCTGGCCTTGAACACCTTGTGTCTCAGATAAGTGCTTTCTGGGAAGGTTTCACTGTTGCCATGGCCTGATCCCTCCTGTTCATAAAACTTGCCCATCAGCGCACCCCTTAACATCTCATCAACTGATTTTGTTTATACAGTCAGTCCATAAAAACCTGTCTAGATGGATATGGGGAGACTGTTCTCTCTTCCTTAATCATTAACTCCAGTTTGTTGGGGGTATAAAACATGATTGCACCAGCTGGCAAGTTTGTAGAGAGGTAAAACAAAAATGGCATATAGTAAAATGGCAAATTATGCCAGTGGTGTCTCTTTAGGGAGATGTCTCTCTGTCACCCCACACTTGCTTTGATGCCCCAGCAACTCAGCCAGTGCTGCACATGAGACCTGGGAGACAAAAATAGTCCAAATCAAGATTCCTGTCTGGTTGCACCATCTCAGCAGTGGGAAAATGCCAGGGAATTATGGGAAGGTGCATTTGGGAAGGGTTTCCCTTGCTTCGTCGAAACTGAAGCTGAGATTTATGGTGGCTCCACCCAAGAGGGCAGTTGGTATTTGCATCGTGGTCATGTGAAGAGACTGCAGAGAAGATTCAGGGCCCATCCTCATAATAGGAGGCTTTGTACAAATGTAGACCCTAGGACATCATCTTTTATGGTGGGCTTGTGATCAATTGAGGTTGACTCCTTACCAGGGCAGGGGGTGTAGACTTAGGCTGTAGAATCTGGAGGGGTTTTCTATGGGGTTCAATGGGGCTGGAGGAGCAGATGGACAGGGTCAGGCTGTCCCACAGGGGGACGTGGCTGAGCAGGAGATGGGGACACGTGTGTCCCATGCACAAACCCTTCTTCCCTTGCTTGCTCCTGCTACACCAAGACATGGTTCTTGTTCCAACAAGGGCAAATCGAATCAGCTGGAGGCAGTGAAATGGCACCAACCTAGAGGCAACAAGGATCTACTTTGGAGAACTTATCCTGCCACAAAACCAAGGGCGGTTGCACCATCTCAGCAGTGGGAAAATGCCAGGGAATTATGGGAAGGTGCATTTGGGAAGGGTTTCCCTTGCTTCGTCGAAACTGAAGCTGAGATTTATGGTGGCTCCACCCAAGAGGGCAGTTGGTATTTGCATCGTGGTCATGTGAAGAGACTGCAGAGAAGATTCAGGGCCCATCCTCATAATAGGAGGCTTTGTACAAATGTAGACCCTAGGACATCATCTTTTATGGTGGGCTTGTGATCAATTGAGGTTGACTCCTTACCAGGGCAGGGGGTGTAGACTTAGGCTGTAGAATCTGGAGGGGTTTTCTATGGGGTTCAATGGGGCTGGAGGAGCAGATGGACAGGGTCAGGCTGTCCCACAGGGGGATGTGGCTGAGCAGGAGATGGGGACACGTGTGTCCCATGCACAAACCCTTCTTCCCTTGCTTGCTCCTGCTACACCAAGACATGGTTCTTGTTCCAACAAGGGCAAATCGAATCAGCTGGAGGCAGTGAAATGGCACCAACCTAGAGGCAACAAGGATCTACTTGGAGAACTTCTCCTGCCACAAAACCAAGAGGCTCCCAGGGGGTGCAGGACCTCAGGCCGGGATCTTTGTTTTCTTTGTCCCGGCTCCCAGTCCCTTCAGTCTAAAGGAGCTCAGTGCTAAAGGAGCACTTTGCAATGCGAATAACCTCCTGGAAAAGATCCAGCCCCAGAGTGTGAGTAACCTGAGAAATGCAGACCTGGCTGCCAGCCAAGCAGTCAATCCCTTGATCAATTGACTTCCTAACCCTTTTTTTTTTTTCTTTTTTTCCACTGCTACCCCCTTCCCCCTCCATCTATTGATTTTCCTTGTCTGCAATGTCCGCCTGCCCACCTGGAAATATTGCCTTTGACTCTGCTGGTACATAATCCTGTGGGGTAGACCTTTCACCTCCCTTATGGGAAGACAGATTAATGAGCATCTCAGTCTCCTCAGTGCCCTAGATGGCAGTAGGGTGCAGAGATTGCAAATACCCTTAATACCGTGATACCCGTTCAGTGGGCAGCTCGTATCTCTGTGCCACGAAGGATGAGGGATCTCCCCAGAAGCTGGTTGGTTCATCTCAAAGCTGAGTATTAAACCAGACAGAGGTGGCAGAAAGAAGTTGAAGCTGGTTTCGAGGTGTTCCATGTTTCTGGGGATGTGCCCAATGACTGTTTGTTATCGCTTGCCTCTCTTTTAGCTTTTTCCCTTTCAACTGTTACTCATATTTTTTTAAGTAGGATTCACATTGGGATGCTTCTCAGCTGGTGCGTGCCCAGGTGATGCTATTAAAGGCTGTGTTAGGATCAGAAGCCCAGTGGGGAGGCAACTGGGGTTGAAGCAGAGCCATTTGTTTCACGTAGACCTCCCATGAACAGTGATCTCCATCAAAACGCTCCTTCACAGTTATCCACCCCAATCACTGTGCTTTTGGTGTTCTTGCAAGAAGGAGACCTTAGGGGCAAACTCTCCTTTGTGGTTTGCAACAGCAACACAACCAAAGACATCAGTCGTCCCCCTCCCCAACTAGGTCTCTTGGAGAGGAAGAAAGAGACTGGCTGGATCTTCACAACCACCATCTGACTGTAACTTTCTGCTTGGAAAGGTTTCTAAGTTTAGCTAAGAAGGTATTTTTACTGTTGTTAATGTGAAAACCTGATGTGTGGGGAGTTACCATGGTGTGGAGGAAAGGAAAGGAGGGTCCAACTTTCATTTCCAGGACTCATAAGGTATTTTTCTGCTTTTCTCCTCGGTGCTTCTAAGCTGAAATGCTCCAGCCAGTGCTCCCAGATGCTGCTTGGACAGTTTCTGCAGGAGGTAGAAGATGGTAAAACAAGCCCCAGTTGGACAGGACTCTGCAAGTTGCCCTATACTAGGGGAAGAGGTGTCACCTGCCAGTTATCTCCAGCTACTTGTCACCTTTTCATCAGCCTTCCTGCCTTCTCCCCAGTGGGGAATGGCCAAAAACTCAAGGAGGTGAGAGGTGTCACCTGCCAGTTATCTCCAGCTACTTGTCACCTTTTCATCAGCCTTCCTGCCCTCTCCCCAGTGGGGAATGGCCAAAAACCCAAGGAGGTCTCTCTCCTCCATGAAGTTTTTGCCCTTAACTGGCTGTTTCCATCAAAT